TCTGAGAAAACTTGATGCCTTGAAAATTCTGATCAGGTCTTTGGGGGCAGATGTAATCTTCATCTCTGAAACCTGGCTCAGCAAATCTGTACTGAATAATGACCTGGCAATTAATGGATTTAACATCTACCGCTGTGATTGTCAAAAAAAAGGGGGGGGGGGGTTGTTATTTACATTAGAGATTCTCTGGTTACTAGTCTTGTGTCTTCTAAAACAATTCTAAACCAGTTTGAATGGAGGCCAGATTTTATCTGTAGTGTTGTTATCGTCCTCCCTCAGCAACACCTGAGGCTCTGTCCTCCCTGATGGAATTTCTTGGTAATTTAAAATTAAAAGAGATCTTTTTGGCATGAGATTTCAACATTGACTGGGGTAAGTAGACCCCCCTCTGTGATTAATTCAAGGAATGTTGCCTGTCTCTCACTCTAACCCAACCGATCAACTCTCCGACTAGACCAAACAAAAACCGTCCTGAAAAGTCCTCCATTTTAGACCTGTTTCTAACAAATATACCTCACAAATTCCCTGGTACAGGTGTATTCGCCAACATTTTGAGTGATCATTGTGTGACAGCGACTCTGAGAGATATTAAACTTCCACCTTCTAAGCCCAGATTAATCAAAAAAAGGGATCTGAAACGTTTTTGTGAACAGTCATTCCTCTGGGATCTGTTTCACTTTGACTGGCATTGTATTCTATTAATTGATGACATGAACTCCGCTTGGAACTATTTTCACAATAGTTTCATTTATTTTGTGAACAAACATGCTCCTTTTCGTCAGTTCAGACATACATACATTTATATCTATATTTCTTATTGATCTGATATACACCCACATTTAAAAATCTAGGAGTGAGACGTGCAGTGATCTGTCTGTTTACTGGGATTCTTCTGCTGCTTCTGTGTTCCTGAACCAAAACGAAAGAGTCAGAAAGAGGGGATCACCACAGCATCTTTTAGTGTTTTGATCCAACTACTAAAATAGAACAATCTTTATTTTAGAGAACAATTTCAGTTTTCTGTAAGTTGGACTTTAAAAACACGTTTGTTTGTTTGTTTGTTGTTGTTTTTTTGCATCAAATCTTTGTCAAATCCATGAGTTTTTAATCCCTAACTTTCCAGAGAGTTATTTGTAGCACTTACCCTTATTTTTCGCCGCACACATCGCACCGCCTTACACATAAGTCGCATCAGTCCAAATATGTCTAATAAAGTGGAAAAATTTGTCGCTTCGCCGTATACTTTGCATTTATTATGAGTCACTGATGAAAAATCCGGAAATGTGGGCCGGTGTTGTGCCAAAAATCGATTGGCTACCCAATTTCAGCCACGGGAGCGTGCACGGGAGGACTTTAATAAGACTTTAACAAGATAACCACCTAAAAACAATTATTTGTTTGCTCGAAATTATAGTAAAGGTGTGTTTCAGTTGAATTTTTACTTAATAAATGCACTTCAATGGTCAAATCAGCTGCATTTTGCTGAGGCGACGCAACGAAATGAAGCTGATTTGACTGTTGCTCCAGACATGATCCCGGAGCTGGATGACGGTGGCAGGCTATGGCAAGCCAATTGTGTCATTAATATCTTGATGCATGCTCAATAATCCAGGTAGAAAAATCCAAAAATGTTCAATCTGGTCCTTTGGACATTCAAAAAAACAAAAGCAAAACAAAGCAAAAAAAATTCTAGAAACGTTTCGTCTCTCATCCAAGAGACTTCCTCAGTCTGAGGTGCTGTTTTCATTAATGATCACTTTTACCTATTTCATGACACAACGGCATGTCATACTACTCGCGTACCATCTAGCGCACATGTGTCAAACAAGGCCCGCGGGCCACATCCGGCCCGCCATACAATTAAATCCGGCCCACGAAATCATTTTATATATCTCTTTTTAATGGCCCTGTGATATGACGCCCCAATAACACACACTACAAATCCCATGATGCAGTGCAATTGCCGCCAACGGCAAGCCGCGGTTCAAGTTCGCGGTCTGTTGATGTATACAACGCTAATATCAAATCAAAGCTAGACCCCAACAATGGCCAAGAGAAAAATTGATTCTGAAAACCGAGGCTTTCAAAGCCGGTGGGAGAATGAGTATATGTTTACTGAAATTGCAGGTAAACCAGTGTGTCTCCTTTGTGGGAGTAATATTGCTGTAATGAAGGAGTTTAACCTAAGACGGCACTACGAGACGAAACATGAGAACAAATTCAAAAACCTGAGCGCAGGACAGAAGCTACAAAAGGTAGAGGAGTTGAAGAAGAATTTGACATCCCAGCAGACGTTTTTCACCAAAGCAAAATCACAAAGTGAAGCTGCTGTGAAAGCAAGTTTCATTGTGGCCGAAGAGATCGCCAAATCAGGACGGCCGTTTACCGAGGGGGAATTCGTAAAGAATTGTATGATGAAAGTGTGCGACGTCCTCTGTCCAGATAAAACGCGAGCGTTTGCAAATGTAAGCCTCAGCAGAAACACTCTTGCTAATCGGGTTTGTGAGATGGCGACTTATTTGAAAACACAGTTAATTGAAAGAGCAAAAGATTTTGTTGCATACTCCCTTGCCGTGGATGAAACTACTGACGCGACTGACACTGCACAGCTGGCGATATTTATCCGTGGTGTGGATTCCAATTTGTGCGTAACAGAGGAAATACTGGACATTAAATCGATGCACAGGACAACGAAAGGAGAAGACATCTTTGGAAATGTATTTCAAAGTGTAACCGACATGAAACTGCCGTGGGAAAAACTCGTTGGACTTACAACAGATGGCGCACCTGCGATGTGTGGTGAAAAAAATGGACTGGTGGGAAGGATGCGCTCAAAGATGCGGGAGGAGAACTGTGCCGGTGAGTTGACGGTGTATCACTGCATCATATAACAGGAATCGCTGAGTGCTAAAGTCCTAAAAATGGATCATGTGATGAACACTGTAACACAAACCGTCAACTTTATCAGAGCCCACGGTTTAAATCACCGCCATTTCCAGTCTTTTCTGCGGGAAATAGATAGCGAGTTTGGCGATATGCCATATCATACGGAGGTCCGGTGGCTAAGTCGGGGAAAAGTTCTTAAAAGACACTTTGAGCTGCGAGAGGAAATCTGCCAGTTCATGGACAGTAAGGGGAAAGACTGCACAGTTCTGCGAGATGAAAAGTGGAAATGTGAGTTGGCATTCCTGGCTGACATAACGTCGCATCTTAGCGCTTTAAACCTTCAACTCCAGGGACGGGAGCACACAATAACCGATATGCATGATGCAGTGAAGGCATTTCAAGTGAAGCTGCGCTTATGGGAGACACAAATGCACCAATGCAACTTGTCTCACTTTCCCTATTGCCAAGTAATACGGAACCAAGAAAGTGCCACAATTTTCCCAAATGCCACCTTTGCTGAAAAACTCAGCGTGCTGCGCACCGAGTTCGCACGGCGCTTCAGTGACTTTGAGGCACAGAAAAGTAACTTCGAGCTGCTTCGCAACCCATTTGCAGTCGATGTGGAAACCGCACCTGTAGAAATGCAGATGGAGCTGATAGAACTGCAATGTAACGGGACACTAAAGGCAAAGTACGACACTGCGGGGCCAGCACAGTTCACTCGCTTCATTCCTGAAGCGATGCCGCAGCTCCGCCAACATGCGGCTCGAATCCTGTCCATGTTTGGCAGCACATATCTGTGCGAGCAGCTGTTCTCTGTGATGAAAATTAACAAAACGTCACACAGGAGTCGCCTCACTGATGAACACCTGCAATCGATCCTGAGAATCTCCACAACACAGAACCTAACCCCAAACATAAACGAACTTGTTGCAAAGAAAAGACTCCAAGTATCAGGCTCTGACTAAATAGGACAAGAAAATGGAATGTTATTATTTGTTATGATTATACTTTTGCTTTAAATTAAATTTTTTATTTATATTTTTGGATTTTTTAATATTCCAGCATGTACAGATTTTGAATGTATTGTATTGACAGGATATTTTTTTATGAAGAACAAAATATTTTAAGTTGAAATGTAATTATTTTGGAATGATATCCTGTATTTTGCTTCATATTAATGGTTAAAAAACAAATATTTAGTCTGTTAAATAAATGGTTATACTGTTTGGCCTGCGAGTTTTGAGTTTTGGCCCCCCTGTGCAATTGAGTTTGACACCCCTGATCTAGCGGCTGAAAATGGTAGTGTTCAATATTTTCAGTTAAAATGAATGAAAATGGTCAAATCTCAGCCAGAAATTCGTTTATAAATAGGAAAAAATCCATCAATACGTCGCTTCGGTTTATAAGTTGCAGGGCATGTAAATTATGCAAAAAACTGCAACATAAAGGCCTAACAATCCGGTAAATGTTTTTGATGACTTCATTTAAACTAACAGAGATTTTGAAGTGAAAACATGTGAGTGCTCACATACAGGTGAGCACAGGAGAGACAGACCCTTCCCCTCACTCTCAACCAGCATCTTTTTTTTTGTTTACTTGCATGAGAAACCATATTTAACCATGTACTTTTCTGGTGCCATCCACTGCAGCCAGTCAGGACATGATGATGATGTAAGAGGAGTAAAAACTGATTCTTTTTCAGCTGAGAAGAGGGAATCCTTGAGGGCAGAGCTTGAGCGTTTGAAAGGAAACCCAGCAGCACAGAAGAAGCCTTCTGGAGCTCCAGAGTTTGGATCCGTGTCCCCCTCCAAAGGCTCCATCACCCTGCAGGACTTGCGTCTGCCCCTCAAGGCTGACTTTGTTTGCTCCACTGCCAACAGACCAGGTAGACCCACATCAATGAGTTCTAAACATACTATAGTTCTGTTCAGATTTTCTCAGGCATCATATTAAAACCACAAAAATGTGTGTTAATTTGATCAGTGTAGAACATTGTATGTGTTATTCAGTCTTGTGATGAGAATTTAATTTGAGCAATGTTTGAACCCATCATTCTGACCAGAATCAACTGTGGTTGTTTCAGAGTTGACCAAACATTCGTTCTTCATCCTGATTCGAGCCGGAGCAGAGAACAGTGTGGCCACCGTGTTAGCCAGCACACACCGTGGGCTCAGTGGGGACACCCTCACCTTCCCCACCAGGTTCACCCTGTGAGTCACTACAGATGGTCCACAGCAATATGTAGATAAATATGAGCCTCACATTGTCTTTAGTTGAACTCAGCACTTTTACATCATTGTTTAAGTGTGGCCTTTCTGTCAGATCATTCTGTACAAAGACTGTTTGGTTCAGTTGAAGAATTATATCCACTTCACTGTTTGGACTCTTTCAGGTCTGATGTTGTCAGTGACTTTAAAATAGAGTTAAAAGTCTACTGTTTGGTAAGTATTGTTCATTGCTCTTCATAAATGAACTAAAATGTTTAGTCTTTTCTAATACTTGTAAAAGAACCTCAGATGTGGATCGACTGTAAAATGACTCTTATCTTGCTGAAGTTGCAGGTTGGAGGGAAAACTTTCACCCATATTCTATTTTATCACATTTCTTTTTAAGAATGCACACATTCAGTGGGATTTTGTAGAATATTGTACATTGCATATTTTACATTTTACTGTCTTCATTAGCTCCTCAAAGTACTAGTTCAATCTCTCCTCACTTGTTAGAACATTACCATTCCTATCTTTAATAAGCCTAACCTGCTGCACATCCTTTCCAGCCTGATCACTCTGTCTTGCCAATCGGTACAAGTCCTTCTCACCCTCTTTAGTGTCCAGTCTCCCATAAAACTCATCGTACGCCCTCTGCTTTGCCTTAGCTACTTCCCTCTTTTCTCTACGTCCCATCTCCTTATATTCCTGTCTCCTCTCTCTCTTCAGTCCTCTCACTGTCATATTTCTTCTCGGCTAATCTCTTTCTTTGAACAGCTTCCTGCACTTCACTATTCCACCACCAGGTTTCCTTGTCATCCATTCTCTGTCCAGATGACACACCAAGTACCTTCCTACCTGTCTCTCTAATTACTGTTGCTGTAGTAGTCCAGTAATCTGGAAGCTCTTTCTTACCATCCAGAGCCTTTAACAGCTCCTCTCTGAATTTCTCACAATATTCTTCCTTCATCTTCCACCATTTGGTCTTCTTCTCTGATTTTACTCTTTTTCTCGTCTTCACAACAACAGTCATTCTACCCACAACCATCCGATGCTGTCTGGCCACACTCTCCCCTGCCACAACCTTACAGTCCTCAATCTCCCCCAGGTTTCCTCTTCTACACAGAATGTAGTTGACCTGCGTACTCCTTCTTCCACTCTTATAGGTCACTCTATGCTCCTCCCTGTTTTAGTATAAGTATTAACTACAGCCATTTCTATTCTCTTGGCCAAATCCACCACCACCTGTCCTTCCTGGTTTCTTTCCTTGACACCAGATCTACGATCATTTGCTTATCCCCTCTGTTTCCTTCACCAACATGTCCATTCAGGTCTGCTCCGATCACCACTCTCTCCTCCCTGGGAATACTCTCTATCACTTCATCCAGAGCTTTCCAAAATGTATCTTTCTCCTCCACATCACATCCAACTTATGGAGCATAACCACTGACAATGTTTAGCATCAGACCTTCTACTTCTACCTTCAGACACATCACCCTATCTGACACCCTTTTCACCTTTACTACATTCTTTACCAACTCCTCCTTCAGGACCACCCCTACTCCATTCCTCTTTCTATCCACTTCAGGGTAAAACAGGTCTTCAGGAGCCCAATTTCTACTGGCTCCCTTGTTATCAACGGCACCAGTGGCGGTCGTGGTTAACCTGGGCCTTGACCAATCCCCCTTCTCCATGATTTCAACACTGTTTAGTTCAGTTTGACACCACACCAGTTGAGTGTCTCCACTGCTGGTTCCCACTCGGTTTATGGTACCATGCTCTAAGCAGACAATTTTGACGTTAGCAGACTGCAGCCATTGATTGGCCCCATTTGTCAAGCAGAATATGAGCTATTAAGCTCATGGCCACTTTGCCCTCTTTTCTATGACATTCCCACCCACAGATTGGGGGGCCAGTTACAGCTGAGACACCTAACCTGAGAAAATGGTAAATGGACTATACTTATATAGCGCCTTTCTATCTTATCAAGATACTCAAAGCTCTTTACAACAATCTGTGCATCATTTACCCACTCATACAGCACTCTACTAGATATGGACAAAGACTAATCAGTGCTTTAGATCACATTCATACACTGATGGGACACATTGGAGGCTATGAGGGGTTCAATGTCTTGCCCAGGGACGCTTCAACATGTGACTGCTGGTGGAATCAAACCCCCAACTCTTGCATTGGAGGACGACTGCTCTAACCAAATAAAAACTGAATAGAAATGAAGCGATTCGAATGGTACTTAACAATGAAGAAGCGGCCTATGGTGTTGTTTAGATGCACAGGTTTCAACCGTGAATTTTGGAGCTTGACAAGATGGAGTTTTTTTCCCGAGGTCGGCCTGTTAGCTGAGCTCGTAGCTTAGCTTCTCAGCTTAGCTGCTTTTAATGATCCAAAAACGTGATTTTAGACGGTTAAAACAGATTTTAAAGAGAAAAGAGAAAGGGAGGGGTCAGAGAACCGGAGTTGAGCCGTTTATCATCTAGTGTCTTCAGTAGAAAAAGAGAGAGACACTAAGAAACAATAAAGCCAATAAATGAAAATGAGGTCGATAATTTTCATTTATCATGCGATTAATTGATTTGTTGTTTTTTGTGACAGACCTACTCAGGACACTTTACAGGAACATTCACACACATAGAAAAGCCAATTAGTAAAGTTCTCTATCTAAGGAAGCAGCAGACTCGTTGAATCTTCACGTTGTCACAGTCTCCCATCCTGAGCAAGCACAATGGCAACAGTGGAAAGTAGGGCTGAACGGTTTGGGGGAAGAATCGGTTTTGTGTTGCGTTTCCTTGACTGATGAAGCCTTCTGGATGGAAGGTGAAACGTTTCAGCAAAAAAAATCTGTCCAGATGACCTGACTGAAAATTGTTGGGTAGGACTGAACGATTTTGGAAAATGTTCTAATTGCGATTTTTTTTAACCTCAATATTGTGATTTAATATGCGATTATTTTTCAATGTCTTCTTCTCGTGTATTTTTCAACGAACACAAGCAATAAATCTGTTTCAGTTGCAAAAAACTCCTCAGTTTTCAGCTCCGCTGCAACTCTGTTTCTGCATTTTTTTTGTGTAGCTCCTGGATAGCAACTTGGCTAAAATGTGTGTGTGAGGGCATTCTGTACTGCTTATCCACTGTGTTTACCAAAGCTGTAAACTGCAGACTTGGTCACTGTATTAATGGGCATCATGTCTTTCGCTATGAACTCAGTTATTGCTCGAGTTATTTCCGCGTGCCGTTTTGATTTATGTTCATATGGAGTAATACTTCGAACAGTTCGGTCAGTGATCCCTGTCGGCTGCTACTTTGTCTATTTGAAGATGAAGCACTGGCCGTTGGCATTCTACCCTTACAACTATTGTAAATGGCTTTGTACTGTTTTTTTAAGTGTTGATAAAGATTTGTGGTGTTACCTCGAGAGGTAGCAACTAGGCCTGTCGCAATAAACAATAAATCAATTAACCGCATGATAAATGAAAATTATCAACCTCATTTTCATTTATCGGCTTTATCTTTTCTTCGTGTCTCTCTCTTTCTACTGAAGACACTGGATGATAAAAGGCTCAACTCTGGTGCTCTTCACTGACCTCTCCCTTTCTCTTTAAAATCTGTTTTAATCGTCCAAAATCATGTTTTTGGATTGTTAAAAGAAGCTAAGCTACGAGCTAAGCTAACAGGCCGACCTCCGGGAAAAAACCTCCGTCTTGTCTAAGCTCCAAAATTCACAGTTAAAACCCGTGCCTTCATGTAAAAATTTGTTTTTCTTTGCAAAAAGAAGCTGAGAACTCGTTTACTGATATTTTTTTTTATTAAAAGCTTTGTGTGAAAAATGCTAAAGAGCTCAAATCACAGACATCACCATGTCAGTCCATGTCGCATCAAGGGCCCTCCCTCCCATTTTTCTTAGAGACGCTGCTCAACTATCCATCCTTTGGTTCAAACTGTCTTATACTATCATCATGTGGTCAAAAAAGAAAAAAGAATTAGAAAATCTTGTTTGATCATATTGCGATATTATTGTAAATGCAATTAATTGTTCACCCCTAGCGGAAAGGAAAACCTCCCTTTTTAAAAGGAAGAAACCTCCAGTAGAGCCAGGCTCAGGACAAGCAGCCATCTGCTTTGACCAGCTGTTAATTATTATTACATTCTGCTACAAAAATATGACAAAAAGTATTTCAACCACTTGAATATCATAAACCAGGAGACATCTTCTGGAATAATGTTTTTTTTTTTTTCTCCAATTCTGTTTCCAAATTGTTTTCCTCTTTGATATTGGGAAACATTTTAGTAGAGAAAAATGTATCATGTTTACCCTGATGTATGCTCAATAATCCAGTTATCATGTTTACATTGATTATTCTTCCTACATACTTTTAGTGATTGCTTTGTAGTGAGTTCTAACTTTTCATGTAACAATTGTTTTCAGGTGCAGAAAAGTGAGGCCTGCAGCGACAAGAAGAAGAAACCCAACAAGTCAAAGGTAACCTGACGTTTAGTTTTCTTCTTTCAGTAAACGTTTGTTGGGAAGTGTCCCGCCTAAAGCGTGTCTCTGTGGGGGTGGTGGACACGCTGACTTTAAATGTCTTATTGCTATCAGACGTTCTCCTTGCACAGCTGTCAGTAATCATGTTGAGTCAAGAATAAGAAACAACTTCTAAAACATTCTTTTGTTGCTGTTGTCCTTATAGGCGATCACCCCAAAGAGGTTCCTTGCCATCACTGTAAGTTTTTACGTTTTTTTGCCTAGAAAGTCCATGTGCCTCCTTTTTACAGCAGATGCTAATTTGAAACATGTTGTTGTTTAACGTTCTTACAGAAAAGTGCACAGACTCCAGGTAAATACTGAGCTGGGAAGGTGAACTCATTCAAGATTCAAGAACAGGTTGAACTGTCCATTTTGAGCCGTTACTTTAATTATTTCAACCTCTTGTTTGGCATTAGTGGCGAATCCTACAGGCCCCAGTGCTGTCAGAACCAGTAACTTTGTTCTGGTTGGATCTCACACGCTGACCCTGTCCTCTATTGGGAACAACAGACTTCCTCTGGATAAGGTACAGGAATAATAAGTAACACCTTCTCTTGTTTTCTAAGTCCCCACTTTGACAGTTCTTTATTTTTTGCTTCACTCTGCATGTGTTGGAGTTCACACGCCTTTAGGTTTTCTGCTCATTGGACTGTACAGAACCTTCTTATACCTCTTGAACTTTTCCACATTAGACTTCAAAGTATTTTCTGGGATTTATATGGAACGGTACACCAACACAGGATGTGAATAACAGAGGTGGAAGAATCTAATCAGTATGTGAGTCCAGCTGTGAGCAATTTGATCTCAGTATAAACCCAGCTGTTCTGTGAACAGAATATTAGCATTCAAACAGCATCATGAAGACCAAGGAACACATCAGACAGGCCAGAGATGAGTGGTGAGATGTTTAAAGCAGGGTTCATCGTAAGCTTTGATCATCTCACAGAGCTCTGTTCAGTCCATGGTTCTAAAATAGAAAAAGTTACAGCAAACCTACCTGAACGGGGCTGTCCACCTATCCTGATGGGTCAACACACAGAGCAGCCATGCAGCTCCATGCTGCGTCTGGAGGAACTGCAGAGATCCACAGCTCAGGTGACAAAAGTTGTCCTCAGGACCACTGTTAGTGTTGAGCTCCACATATCTGGCATTTATGGAAGCAAGGAGAACTTATTACATGTGATGTACAGCAGAGTAGAAGTACTCGTATATTTTATTATAGGTACAAAGAACGTTAGGTTACTTAACGTAACCCCGGTTCTTTGATAACAGAGTGAGGTGTTTCTCTATGGGAAACGCTCCAGTGAGACCATCTACGGAAGCTCCAATGACATTACGTCTGTCAAAAGACAGACCAGTTGAGCTGTGCTCAGGGCTCCGCCCCCACCATGACACCACAGTCAACCGACCACCTCCTACTCATTCTAGGATGGTTTCTTTCCGTGACCATGCAAGGAGGGAAGTGTTGGTGAAACACCTCAGTCTGTTATCAAAGAACCGGGGTTACGTTAAGTAACCTAATGTTCTTTTTCTAACTTTGTTCGGTGTTTCACTTTGGGAGATATGGCCCACTCCCGTATTGCAAAAAAGCCCCGAAGCCAACAACTATCCTGAACCCGGACTAAGAAAGCTGCGAAGTACCGGCGTCCAGTATTGCAAGAGCTAGGGATGGCTGAGCCACATTCAGCCTGTAAAAATGTACAAATGTATGTGGTGTGGCCCAGCTAGCTGCCTCACAAATATCTTGGACTGATACTCCTCGAAACAGGGCCCATGATGTGGCCATGCTCCTAGTAGAATGGGCTCTCAGCCCAGACGGGGGCTCGGTACCCCTACATCTGTAACAGAGACTAATTGTCTCCACAATCCAATGTGCCAGCCTCTGGCGAGAAACTGGTTTCCCTTTATGAGTTGAGGCCCAAGAAACAAAACAGTTGGTCTGACTTCCTGAAGTCAGCTGTCCTGTCAACATATGCTTTCAGTGACCGCACAGGACACAAGGAGTTAAGGTCTCGCTCCATTTCAGAGGAGAATGAGAATGAAGGAGGATGGAAAGCTAACAGCTCTACTGAACAACATCTGTACACAGAATCCATCACCTTAGGCACAAACGCTGGATTGGGCCTCAGACACACCTTAGAGAACCCAGGTGCCCACTGCAAGCAGGAAGGGCTGATAGATAAAGCGTGTAACTCACTCACCCTTTTAGCTGTAGTTAAAGCTAAAAGCAGGGCAGTCTTAAAAGAAATAAATTTCATCCCTGCCCCCTCCACAGGTTCAAAGGGATGATTACGGAGGGCTTCCAGCACCAGTGAGAGATCCCACAAAGGTACCAGAGGCGTAGAAACCGGCAGCTTACGTCGTGCCCCTTTCATGAAGCGACACACTAACGGGTGCTGTCCATTGGATTTGTCGCCAAAACCGATGTGACAAGCTGAAATAGCTGCCAAATAAACTTTGATAGTGGAAAAAGCCTTCCCTTTTTCCAGTAGATTCTGTATAAAACAGAGCACATCCACAAGAGAGCACTGGAAAGGAATGACGTGCCTCTCCCCACACCATTCTTCAAAAACTCGCCATTTGCTACTATACAGATAACGCGTAGAGGGGCCCTCGCGTTCTGAATTGTATTAATGACACCTGGGGGAAGACCAGCTAGATTTAGATTCCACCTTTCACGGGCCAGGCCCAGAGAGCCATGCGGTCTGGGTGGGGGTGAAAAATTTCTCTCCTGGCTTGGGACAGAAGGTCCCTATGAACAGGAAGAGGCCATGGTTCCCCTGACAGCATCTGAATAATTTCTGCCACCCAGGGCTTGGATGGCCACCATGGGGCCACCAAAATTAAAGACCGGCCCTGTTCTCTCACTCTGCTCAATGTGGGAGAAATCAGGCTGAGAGGTGGGAATGCATACAGCAGCACGTTTGGCCACGGGTGAGCTAGAGCATCCACCCCTAGTGGAGCATCTGGGTCTGACAGGGAGAAAAACAGCGGGCAGTGGGTGTTTTCCCATGAGGCGAAGGGATCTACGGCGGCCCTGCCGTATCTCTGCCAGATCTGCTCCACCACCTGAGGGTGGAGCTGCCACTCTCCATACAGAGGGTTGCCCCTGGACAACAGATCTGCTCCTCTGTTCAGAATCCCTGCCACATGAGTTGCCCGGACTGACAGGAGTCTGGTGCTGCTCCATAAAATTAACTCTCGGGCCAGTCTGTGCAGCTGCTGGGATCGTGTCCCGCCCTGACGGTTGATGTAAGCCACCACCGTTGAATTGTCTGTCTTCACTAAGACATGAAGGTCTTTTAAATGGGGCAGAAAATGCTTTAAAGCTAGGAAAACTGCCTGCAGTTCCAGCACATTTATGTGAAAGTGTGATATTGTCTGTGACCACACACCATTCACTGTCCTGCCCATCATCGTGGCCCCCCATCCTCTCAGGGATGCATCTGCTGTGATGGTGACCCTGGATGTTACTGCTCCTAGCTAAACCCCAGTGCTGAAAACCACTGGGTCCCTCCATGGATGCAGAGCCATGGAGGGACCCAGTGACTCCATGGTGACGTCACGCTCTTGCCACAACAGGTCTCTGCTCTTTTCATTGAAAGAGCAGGAGCGCCCTCTGTTGGGCAAAAGCTTATACAAAGTTTCATGTTTTTGTTTTTTTGTGGGGTACATTCTGCCCTTAGCAACGTGCTTGGCTGCAGAAATGCATTCTTTATTTTTATTGTTTTCCCCTGAACAAAACGAGGCATCTTGGGGCACTGGTGAGTGTTTGGTGACACTGAGCGAGTGCTTTTGGGTGCGTGATGCACATTCAGTGCTGGGTGACACTGTGTTTTCTGCCTCACAGTCCCCTTTCTATGAACATGAGAGGGCTGAACAAACTGCACTTCTGTTGAACTGGGAACTGCAGGAGTGTGTGAACACAGGCAGGTTTCCTCTTCTGCCAATTTCCTCCTTTTCGCTGGAGGTGGAAAAGATGGGGTTGTTAGGTCGTCCGCTTTTTCTTGCCCTCACTGGAGTGGGATGGACGTTTCCTGGCAGCTGCTGCTGCGAAAGAGTGCTTGCCCCAAGGCCTTGGGTTTTTCCCTTTGGTTTGCTGGTTAGGGTGACCAGCTGCTTGTCTGGGTGTGCTAGAACCACCCTGCCGCCCCCTTGCTGCCGCTGCAGCTGCTGCAAACCCGGGTCTTGGACCCTGAGCCGGGTGGGGGTTTGGTTTGCGTGGCAAGCAGAGGTTAAAGGCCTCACCCTCTTGTTTTCTAAGGGTGCTCGTCTCCCTCATCTTCTCCAAAGCTGGGCCGAAGAGACCTTTGGTCGGGTCAAAGGCTGCGTCCATCACCTCCGCTTTCTGGGAGTCCCCCAGGCCTGACAGGTTCAGCCACAGGGCTCTCTCTCCTGCAACAGCAAGTCCCATGACGCGGCTGCTGCCCTGGACAGCTCCACTGGATGAGCGTAGGATGAGATCGTTAACAACACAAATTTCATCCCACAGAGCGGGGTTAGGTGACCACCGAGTCCAGCTGGCGGCCCATCTCCTCCAGGATCTCTGCTTGATATGCTGAAAACAGAGTGATAGCATTAAGAGAACACACAGACTGTCCAGCATATGTGTACATTCTCTGATAAATTGACACCGTGAGGCGGTCCGATTTAGCTGGAAGAGAAATATTAGTAGAGGCTGAAACTGACCTGCGGTTGGGGTGGAGGTGGTACGCCACTGAGGGTTCTACCGCTGGGGATTTGGTCAGCCCCAACTCTTCCATCCCCTATATTTCCAGCTTGGAGCAGCCCTTGGTGGAGAGCCTGCTCCTAAAAGGGCTTGACCAGTAACGGCTCATTTCCCTCATACAAGCTGGAACAGCTGGTAAAAGTTGTTTGCTTGGTGTGGAGGCTGGTGGGAGCCTCTTACCATCATACAGGTCTCGTTCCGGCCCCCCTGCGTCCTGGGTTGCAGGCCAGGGGATGTTCAGCTTCGACGCTGCTCTTCTGCAGAATCATATAGGTCACTGTCCACCGGAGGTGTCACCCTGATGCTGGGTAGCCTCGAGTGTGGGACCAGGAAAGTAGAGTCATCCTCCTCTTCCTCCATCTCATCCATGTCGAGGAGATCGGAGTTAGCGTCGCCCTCCATCTCCTCCTGACCTGTTTCAAAATCCCCTCCATCTACCAATCCATCGAAGAGTGGCGGCATTACCGGGGACTCCTCTTCCATCATGTCCGCCCAGCACGTGGTGGCTCGTGGCTGATGGCTGTCACCTGTTACCGCGGTGGCGGACAGGCACGGGTTCTGGCTGTTCGTGACTGCCACTCTCAGCCTCCTTTCTAGGATTTTTTCTGGCATGGAGGAGCAGTGTTGACATGCCTGAGGGTTCGCCAGTGACGTTTGTGCGTGTTTGGCGCCCATGCATATTATGCACATTGGGTGAGGGTCCCTGCCTGAAATGGAGGCCCCGCATGACGAGGGGCACGGGCGGGATACATCCTCTTTGGCCTTAGGTTCCGACCCTTTGGTGGGGGTGGGTGCCGTAGCCATAATGATAAGGGAACTAGTTCGTCGTGACACGTTAACTGTTCGTCGCTAAAGCTAGCCGCGGAGTTAAAACCGAGCTAACTGCTAGGCTAAAAAACGCTCATCGTAACACGTTAGCTGTAATGGAAAGCCTCTAAAGGTACCAAGCTAATGCTACCTCTAAAGGAAAGCTAGCTCGCCTTGACGCGTTTGCTTGCATTACACTTGCAGCCACTCGCTTAGTTAAAACTGAGCGGTGGGAACAACTCGCCTTGACGCGGTCACCGTTCCCAAATGTAACAAAGTTACTTCTTGCGAAGCCCCAACTTACTCAACACAGTTCGAGCTGACGCCAGGAACTGCGTTCGGCAACGTACTCCTTTATGGGACGCCTGAGAACTGTTTAGCAGCTAACCTAGCTAGCCTGACTGTGCTCAGGGAGCTTGTTGTAGTTTTTCACGGAAAGAAAGCGAGAATGAGTAGGAGGTGGTCGGTTGACTGTGGTGTCATGGTGGGGGTGGAGCCCTGAGCACAGCTCAACCGGTCTGTCTTTTGACAGACGTAATGTCATTGGAGCTTCCGTAGATGGTCACGCTGGAGCGTTTCCCATAGTGAAACACCGAACGAAGTTAGAAAAAGAACCTGTTTGTTAGTAGCTTTTACATGACATTTGACCACAGAGACCATGGACTATAAAGGAGTGTAATTTGAGCACTGGGCCTGACTGTAAACAATTTTTTTTTACTTGTGATTTTTTGGAACCAACAGAATCATTTTAATTAAAAGATGTATTCATTATTGGAACAAAAAAAGTTGTGCTTGGTAGCAAATATCCATGGTTCTCAATCGGAAGAAAGTGGAGCGGTCCCTTTGGGTCGGAGATGAGTCTGCCACAGAGTTCAAGTATCTGGCATCTTGTTACTGAGTGCTGGCAGGATGGAGACAATGACTGGCATTCCCCATGATGGTCTTCAGTCAGGATCTAGTCCTCTACTCCAAAGAGTCCAGCTGGACCCCCAGCCGGCTCACTTCAGATACATCTACTCTGGCCTTTCTTGTAGAGCAGGTCAGTGTTCAGTGACCAGTCCAGATTATAGTCCAGCAGATGGATTGACACATTAGGTCATCAGTAATGAGGGTGTTGCTTCAATTTGTTGTGGTGTACAAATAGTTATGTCAAAAGGCAAAGCTCTTGATTATCTGTTCTGTCTATGTTACAACCTTCACCAGTGGTCAGAACGAGATCCTGGATAAAAGCAGCCAAAATGAGCTTCTGTTAAAGGGTGGCCGGGCTCAGCTTTAGACATAAGGCTCTTTCACAAGACGTCTTGGTCCTGGACTGAAACGGGCTCTGGCCATCAATCGAGGTAGTAACAAAGGCAAAATAGCAGACGTGAAAAAGTAAGCTGAAATGCTGCGGCTCATTAATGTGACGAAGTGATGACATTAGTGTTCGACTGCCTGGTCATGGGATTAAACAGTCGTTAATGGTATTTATAATTCTGCAGTCATCCTCAGTTATAATAAGTGATAATAGTATTTATAATATTTTAACAGGCTCTTAAAAGTTCACCACATAACTCCAGTCCTGGCTTCTATCTCTTCACTTTCTGTCAGTTTCAGGATTAATGTTATGATTTTACAGCTTGCTTTTAAAGTTTTAAATGATCTGGTCCTGCAAAATTTATGAGAGAAAACTGGTTTACCAACCAGTGTCTCCAAGATGTTCTAAGATCCAAACAAAAATATGAAGATGATGGGGCTTTTCATTCATCTATAAAAACCTGACTTCTTCACACATTTTAAATCAATGTTCAAAACCCATTTATTCCTTGGTTTTTGATTAAAGCAGAGTATGAGACTCAATAGAACCGAGTTTGCTGTTTCTGTATTTCATTTAAACGTTACTTTGTTTAAAAAAAAAAATTCTCTTAAATGCTTTTTTCAGTGTTTGAATCGTAAAAAAACTTTGTTCAACATGTGACGTTTTAATTGTCCTGTAGAAATAAATGGATGTTATAAAGTTCCAGGGGGAAAAACATTTGAGTGTTCTGTGTTAGTGACCTGCTGTGATCTCTTTCTTGAGATCAAATTTGAAGGAAAAGAGACAAAACTCCTATGTGGCATGTTTCATAACAAGGTTCCTGTTAGTCATATTGTTTCCATTGGACGGATGAGTGGGCAACACTTTGACTGATAAAATTATTCCCTCCTTCACAGACGTTGTTTCCTTTTACCACAGCTCAAGTTTTTCATAAAATGCTTTGTGTTTGGCTTCAAGGTGCCATTCCTGTGTCCCTTGGAGGGTCACGTCCACCTGAAAATGCTGTGTGAGGTGGGTTCAAAGGTGGAAGAAAGAGGCTTCTTGGTGAGTAGTAAAATAAATCATCCCATAATTTATCCTGATGCATGCTCAATAATCCAGGTAGAAAAATCTAAAAAAGTTAAATCTGGTCCTCTGGACATTCAAAAAACAAAAAGCAAAACAAAAAAAATATAGAAATGTTTCGTCTTTTGCCCGAAAGACTTCCTCAGTCTGAGGTACTGCATTCAGCTCAGTCTTATAAACAGCACATTTTCAGAGTGGATCAACCAGTTTTGCTGCTGACAACCAAAACCAGCTGCTCACATGATCGAGAAGGACTAACGATGGATCATTACATGGCTGTTTGCTATTCACAGGAGGCTGAGTGATACTAGCAATAACAGCATTGTAAGAGGGGGACAGTTGAACCCGGAGGCCTCCACCCCTGTTTAATGATGGACGATTTCTTTTCACAAAGATGGCCTCCTTTACTTCTCTCTCAAACCATCGTTCCTCTCTGTCCAGGATATGAACATCTTCATCCCTGAAAGAGTGACCGCTGGCCTGGAGATGAGTGTGGACCGCAGAGTCCTGGCCTGATGATGTTGATCTTCTGTGCTGGGCCATCCTTTTGGCCAGTGGCTGTTTAGTTTCCCTGGTGTAAGACTGATCACAGCCCTCCTGACATTGAACAGCATACACAATATTACTCCGTTTGTGCTGAGGGACTGGATCTTTGGGATGAACCAGTCTTTGCCGTAATGTATTTTGGGGTTTAAAAGCCACTGGAATGTTATGTTTAGAAAATAAACGTCTCAGTTTCTCTGATACTCCCGCAACATACGGAATGACCACTGGTCTGGGTCTGGGTTCCTCCTTTTCACCTGATGGCTGACTGGAGTCCTGTCTGGGATTCTTATCTGCTTTCAGGAATGCCCAGTTAGGATTTCCACATTGCTCTAGAGCCTGTCTTGTGTGGGATTTCTCCTTCTGCCTGGCTCCTGAGTTAGTGGGGATGCTGTCCGCTCTGTGGTACAGAGTCCTGATGACTCCTAACTTGTGCTCCAAAGGGTGATGGGAGTCAAACTGCAAATACTGGTCTGTGTGGGTGGGTTTGCGGTACACCTCAGTTTGCAAATGTCCTTTATCAGAGACTGAGACCTCACAGTCCAAGAAAGCCAACCTGCCATTTTTTACATCTTCTCGTGTGAACTTTATGTACAACCCGGATTCCAAAAAAATTGGGACACTAAACAAATTGTGAATAAAAACTGAATGCAATGATGTGGAGGTGCCAACATCTAATATTTTATTCAGAATAGAACACAAATCACATATCAAAAGTTTAAACTGAGAGAATGTATCATTTTAAGGGAAAAATCTGTTGTTTCCAAATTTCATGGCGTCAACAAATCCCAAAAAAGTTGGGACAAGTCCATTTTTACCACTGTGTGGCATCCCCCCTTCTTCTTACAACACTCAACAGACGTCTGGGGACAGAGGAGACCAGTTTCTCAAGTTTAGAAATAGGAATGCTCTCTCAATTATGTCTAATACAGGCCTCTAACTGTTCAATTGTCTTGGGCCTTCTTTGTCGCACCTTCCTCTTTATGATGTGCCAAATGTTCTCTATAGGTGAAAGATCTGGACTGCAGGCTGGCCATTTCAGTACTTGTATCCTTCTCCTACGTAGCCATGATGTGATTGCTGCAGAATGTGGTCTGGCATTATCATGTTGAAAAATGCAGGGTCTTCCCTGAAAGAGATGACATCTAGATGGGAGCATATGTTGTTCTAGAACCTAAACATAGTTCTCTGCATTAATGATGCCTTTCCAGACATGCAAGCTGCCCATGCCACAAGCGCTCATGCAACCCCATACCATCAGTGATGCAGTCTTCTCAACGGAGCGTTGATAACAACTTGGGCTATCCTTGTCCTCTCTGGTACAGATGACATGGCGTCCCAGTGTTCCATAAAGAACTTCAAATCGTGACTCATCTGACCACAGAACAGTCTTCCATTTTGCCACACTCCATTTTAAATGACCCCTGGCCCAGCGCAAACATCTGAGCTTCTGGAGTTTGCTTAGAAATGGCCTCCTCTTTACACTGTAGAGTTTCAGCTGGCAACGGCGGATAGCACGGTAGATTGTGTTCACTGACAATGCTTTCTGGAAGTATTCCTGAGCCCATTCTGTTATTTTCTTGACAGTGGCATTCCTGTTTGAGGTGCAGTGACGTTTAAGGTCCCGGAGATCACGAGCATCCAGTAGAGTTTTACGGCCTTGACCCTTACGCACAGCGATTGTTCCAGATTCTCTGAATCTTTTGATGATGTTATGCACGGTTGATGATGATAACTTAAAAATCTTTGCTATTTTACGCTGGGTAACACCATTCTGGTATTGCTGCACTATCTTTCTGCGCAACAATGGTGGAATTGGTGATCCTCTTACCATCTTGGCTTCTGAGAGACACTGACACTCTGAGAAGCTCTTTTTATACCCAATCATGTTGTCAATTGACCTAATTAGTGTTAATTGGTCTTCCAGCTGTTCGTTATATGCTCAATTTCCTTTTTCCAGCCACTTATTGCGACTTGTCCCAACTTTTTTGGGATTTGTTGACGCTGTAAAATTTTGAATCAACATATTTTTCCTTTAAAATGTTACATTTACTCAGATTAAACTTTTGATCTGTCATCTATGTTATATTACGAATAAAATATTGACATTTGCCATCTCCACATCATTGCATTCATTTTTTATTCACAATTTGTTTAGTGTCCCAACTTTTTTGGAATCCGGTTTGTATTTATCCAAAGAGTTGATATGGCCAGTAAAATGTTGGACTTCCCGAGATTTAATTTGAACCCATGTGTCATCAACTTACCTGAACCAATGACTTGGTGGTGTCCCTGAAAAGGACGCCAAGGCTCTCTTTTCTACCTCCTCCATGTACAGGTTGGCAACACTAGGAGAAACTGGAGACCCCATAGCACACCCATATTTCTGCCTATAATATTACTCCCCATATGTGAAGTAAGTTGACTGCAGGCACAGTTTCAAGAGTTGGCACAGTTGTTCTGTGGAAAGTGTGGTCCTGCTGCTCAGAGTGGTGTCTGATTTTAATCTTAAACTGACCACCTCTACTGCATCATCAACAGGAATGCATGTAAAGAGTGATGTGACATCAAAAGAGACCATTGTTTCATCAGTCTCCATGATGACATCCCTCACCTTATCCACAAAGTCCATGGTGTTCTGTATGTGGTGTTCTGAGCTGCCAACTAAAGGGATGAGTACAGACACCAGATATTTGGAAACAAAGTGACAGAGTTAAGCATGCTGACAATTGGTCTTAAAGTCACCTTGTTTGTGGATTTTAGGTAAACCATACAGACTAGGTGTGACCTCCCCTGGGTACAGTCTGTGGTACAGAAAACGGTCAATAGCTTTGTCCTGTTCCAAAATTTTCAGGCAATCTATCAACTTCTTCTTGTAACCACTTCCTGGATCTCTTTTCAGAGGTTCATAAGTGTTTAAGTCACTAAGGAGTGTCATAACTTTCTCATGATAGTCTTTCTGGTTCAAAATCACTGTGCACCTTCCTTTGTCTGCTGGGAGAACGATGATGTTTTTGCCCTTGCTAAGAGTGGTGAGTGCATCCCTCTCCTCTCTACTGATGTTGAAAGGTTGTGGTTTGGCATTGCTGAGGCAGGATGAAACTTTGATTCTGAGCTGTTCTGCTTCACCCTCTTTAATTTTGTTGTTGCGGATGGCTGATTCTGTGGCTGTGATCATCTCCACCAGAGGAATTCTACTTGGTGCAACCGCAAAGTTCAGTCCCCTGGCAAGAATCTCTTGTCTCCGGCTGGGTGAGCTTTCTGTCAGATAAATTCTTCACCCACTTTTCTGTCTCCCTGGCATGTAATTGTCTATTGAAGTGTTGTCTTACACTGAATGTGTTGTTATTGGAATAGTGATGGTGTTGATGAGTTATTAGTAAGCTAAACTTGTTTTGTTGTCGAGTCTTGGACTTGACATGCCTGCCTGATCTGTACAGTCCATCACTTGCTGAAGTGTGGTCTGATCTAGGCACGTTGTTAGTTTTTGTTTAATGTGCTCTTCTTTGGCCTTCAAGGCCTCAATAGTAAAATTGGTCTGTCTCACCCGTTCATTCAGCAGCTGGGTCTGTGCCTTCTGAAGGATCTTGCTTGCCCGGTTGCCCGGTGCTTACATCGGGGAAACTAAACAGTCACTGCCCCAAAAGATGGCCCAGCACATCAGGCCACAACATCAGGCCAGGATTCTGCGGTCTACACTCATCTCCAGGCCAGCGGTCACTCTTTCAGGGACGAAGATGTTCACATCTTGGATAGAGAGGAAAAATGGTTTGAGAGAGGAGTAAAGGAGGCCATCTTTGTGAAAAGAAATCGTCCATCATTAAACAGGGGTGGAGGCCTCCGGATTCAACTGTCCCCCTCTTACAATGCTGTGATTGCTAGTATCACTCAGCCTCTTGTGAATAGTAAACAGCCATCAGTGTGCTAATGATCCATCGTTAGGCTGATGGTCCTTCTTGATCATGTGAGCAGCTGGTTTTGGTTGTCAGCAGCAAAACTGGTTGATCCACTCTGAGAAGGTGCTATTTATAAGACTGAGCTGAATACAGCACCTCAGACTGAGGAAGTGTTTCGGATGAAAGATGAAACTTTTCTACATTTTTTTGTTTAGCTTTGTTTTGTTTTTTGAATGTCCAGAGGACCAGATTTAACTTTTTTAGACATCCCATAACTTCTGGTTCGCTCTCCACAATGTATTTATTTACAGGGGAGGGGGGCAGTGTATTCAGCAGTTAAGCCATGAAGATTTGTAACCCCTCTGATGAAACGAGCTTCAGTAACACACACGTACACTACTGTTCTTCCTGTTCCTTCACCTTCACTGGTCAAATGGATCGGTGTGGAGAACAGACTTCTGACCGTGAAGGTCTGCTCATCTGTCGCCACAGTTTCCACTGTCCTTATCATTTTAAACAACTACTTGAAACATACTGGATCACTTTGAAGGGGGGTGTTGTGTTGAAAATTGCACTCTGTCTGGGAAAGCAACACGGTGGTTAGAGTACAGCTGCCAACATTACTGTTACCTCATATTCTTATTAGTGCTGATCGTAAAACTCAAATATAATAATGGTTTTCAGTGGTCTGGTCACAGTGACTCAGGGGAGCCATAATGTCCACTACGGATCACTTTCATCTGTGAAGACAGTGACTCTGTCTCTAGGGATGCACAGATATTCAACAGAGCACAAGTACTTACATTGGAGTATTTGTTGACACAAGTACTAAAACATGCTGTTACACTTCTAACAATTACTGTAATTTCCGGACTATTGAGTGCACCCAAATATAAGCCATGCCCGCTAAATGAAAAAAAATATATATATATATATTTTGGTGCATATATACGCAGCACGTGTATAAACCGGGGGTGTCCACATTGTAACATGAAGTTTTTTCACAGAAAGATTATTTAAACTTTTAATTAAATACGTACCGGTAACATACACAAATTCATATAGTAAATGTTTTTTCTAGACAGTGCCTGTAACACAGCTGGTAAAAAAATACACCTGTCTACAGTGATCACTATCTTCACCTTCCTCCTGCGCAGGATGATGGAGGACAGCTTGAGCTGACTTGAGCAAACATTGCTCTTCGTATTCAGCCAGTTTTGGTAAACGATTTCTCGCTGCCAGTCATCCAAGCCTCCCCCCCGAGTTCGAAGTGTCACATTAATGCATGGTTCACACTTATTCTTAGTGGCTGCAAATACTTTGTTGTGCCCCTAGGGAGGGGGGAAATGAATTTCCACCCCCTTCCCACTGTGATCTGTTTGGTAATTTCATTGGTCAGATTTATTATTTTTTTATTTATGCAGGTAGTCTCACTCAGTCACAAGGACCCACCCTCCAAGAGAAACATGTATTGGGCAGCTTTGTGAGCGCCCGGGTGTGACGAGGCTAAATGTTTTGGCAGCATGAAGCTTGTCAGCCCGTCAAAAAGAACAATCCATAAATTAGCTGCAGTGTTGTATAAGCCGCGGTGTGAAAAATTACGATGCTTAGAAAATGTGTTTGAAAAACGGATCGTTAATTCTTCATGTTAACTCCTCAAACAAAGACGAGGACAGCATCAGTCATTTTTAGAAACTCCCATGAGATGTGTCAGGAAGCAGGCGCTCAGGTTTGTTTTTTACCCAGGATCCTGTGCTGCTGAGGGACCGACTGTAGAAGGTTTCCTGCTGCTCTCATCAAACTCTGAACTCCATTTTGTCTTGTCTTATCAAACAGCTTCTGTTAAAAGAGACAGATAATCCATCCGGAGAACTTTACTGAGCACAATTTACAAGAGTTTTTCTTTAGCTGCGTTTCTTTGGTTTACTTTAATAACCCCCATCCCCCCATTTTTTAAATCTGGTGTTGTTTATTGCATTACTGCCATTATCCAGTATGGAGTGTGGATCAGGACAGCCAAATCAATAAATGAATGACTCTCCTATCAGCTGTGAAGTGAACGTCACCTTTTAATGACTATTCTTAAGTAATATGTGACCCTAATGTAACTGTAGCCAGGTTCAGTCTCTGCTCCTGGTGTAAGAGCTTCAGTTCCAATCATAAAAAAAGTTTAACATGGGAATCTTCTGCTCCCAGACAATGTTTGAAGATGTCAGCGGGTTTGGAGCGTGGCACAGAAGATGGTGTGTGCTGTCAGGATATTCCCTTTCATACTGGACGTATCCTGATGATGAACGGAGAAAGGTAAGTCTGTCACTGCATCACACAGCTCATTTCTTTTGCCTAGTTTTTGTGTTATTGTTGGTAATAATTTATCTACTTCAGTGCCTTTTTCCTGTGGGGTCCCGCAGGGCTCAATTTTTGGACCCCTTCTGCTTTCATTGTATCTGCTCCCCTTTGGGTCTATCCTGAAGAAACATGGCCTTTTGTTTCATTGCTCTGCTGATGATTGTCAGATTGATCTGCCCTTAAAACCAAATAGTGCATGTACAGTTAACTCTGTTAAAATGTTCTGATGATATCAAGGCATGGATGGCATCAATTTTTTTAAGTTTCAACGATCAGAAAACTGAAGTTAGTGTGTTTAGCCCTAGCTCTACTGTTGTCTCTGTTCCTGTAAACCTTGACTCTCTTGAGCCATATCTTAAGCAGTATGTTACAAATCTCGGGATGGTTTTAGACTCTGACTTGATTTGATTTAGTATTTCACTGTTTTTCTGTTTTAATTTTGATGCTTTTAATTACATCCTGATGCATGCTCAATAATCCAGGTAGAAAAATCTAAAAAAGTTAAATCTGGTCCTCTGGACATTCAAAAAAACCCAAAACAAAGCAAAACAACAAAAAAATGTAGAAACGTTTCGTCTCTCGTCCGAGAGACTTCTTCAGTCTGAGGTGCTGTATTCAGCTCAGTCTCTTAAATAGCACCTTCTCAGAGTGGATCAACCAGTTTTGCTGCTGACAACCAAAACCAGCTGATCACATGCTCAAGAAGGACCATCAACCTAACAATGGATCATTAGCACACTGATAGCTGTGTACTATTCACAGAGGGCTGAGTGATACTAGCAATCACAGCATTGTAAGAGGGGGACAATTGAACACGTAGGCCTCCATCCCTGTTTAATGATGGACGGTTTCTTTTCACAAAGATGGCCTCCTTTACTCCTCTCTCAAACCATCGTTCCTCTCTATCCAGGATGTGCACATCTTCATCCCTGAAAGAGTGACCGCTGGCCTGGAGATGAGTGTAGACTGCAGAGTCCTGGCCTGATGATGTTGATCTTCTGTGCTGGGCCATCCTTTTGGCCAGTGGCTGTTTAGTTTCCCCGATGTAAGACTGATCACAGCCCTCCTGAGTCAGGAGGGCTGTGAAATATTGCTCAAATATTGTTCACAAATTTGTGTAAATCTGTGTTAGTGAGCCCTTCTCCTTTGCTGCAGATCAAATTTCAATTCAATTAAGTTTAATTCAGTTTTTTTTATATAGCGCCAAATCACAACAAAGTTGTGTCAGGGCACTGAATAGAAACATTCACATACATAGAAAAATAAAAAAGGAAGCCAAAAGACTCGATGAATCTTCACTTGGTCACCGTCTCCCACCCTGAACAATCACAGTGGCAACAGTGGAAAGGAAAAACTCCCTTTTAAAAGGAAGAAACCTTCAGCAGAACTAGGTTCAGGACAAGCGGCCATCTGCTTTGACCAGCTAGTTTGAGAGGACAGGAAGGAGAGACAAAAGACCACAGAATGATAGGTCCAGATATAGGTCCAGGTGTACCTGAAAGACAAGAAAAAAATAATAGAAATACAAAACAGGTTGAGCAGAGTAAGTAAAGACAGCAGCAGAGTGAAAAAATGTGGTCAGCTTGTCCTCCAGCAGTCTAAGTCTATAGCAGCATAACTAAGGGATAGCTCAGGAAACCCAAGCCAACCCTAACTATAGGATTTATAAAGTCTTAAGCCTAGTTTTAAAACTGGATAATGTGTCAGCCTCACGGACAGAAACTGGAAGTTGGTTCCATAAGAGAGGAGCCTGATAACTGAAAGATCTTCCTCCCATTCTGTTTTTGGAAACTCTAGGAGAAAGAGACTGTTCCTCCCAGTCATGCCCTTCCATGTCACACTGTAGCTACCCACATGGGCATTGAAGCCCCCCAGCATAATAAAAAAAATTAAAAAAGAGTTCCCAGCTGGAGCAACCTTCCAGTATCCCTGCTAAGGAGAAAGCTCTGGGTACTCTGAACTGCTGTTTGGTACATAGAAGCAAACTATGGTCAGAGCCTGTTCCTCCCACCCCACCCAAAGGCACAGGGAAGCTACCTTTTCATTTACTGTGGAAATCTCAAGTGTGCAGGCACCAAGCCGGGGGCTATAAGCAGACCCACACCAGCCTGGTGCCACTCACCAATGGACATTCCAGTAGAATAAGGTCTAGCTCCTTTACATACATACTTTGCTTTTGTTGACACCACTCGGCACATAATGGCACCTGCACATGCATGTTCTACATTGCAATCAACTGTCCACCTCAGCTCAAATGATATATATCGATGGTCCAGTCCCTCTCAAAGAGATTGGTTCCAGAGTCCATTTTGTGCGTCGAGACGATCTTGACTATATGACTATATCTAATCAGTACCTCTCAACCTTTGGCACAAGTTCAGGCTCCTTACACACCAGAGAGGTGACATTCCATGTCCCAAGAATTAGCCTTGGTAACCTAGGGTCAGACTCCCAGGTGGGACCCTGGTAACCCACATCCAGGGGTGGGGTATCGTGCTCTTTGCTACTGTCTGTTTATACGAGTATTCTGAATCTCCCTTTGGCCTGTCACCTAGGACCAATTTGCCTTGGGAGAACGTACATGGGGCAGCTGGCCCTGACAGCATATCTCCTAGGATCATTCAGGCCTGCAAGCTCCTCCACCACGATAAAGGGAAAATCATGAAGGACTTCTTATGGTTTGTCATTTTTCTGCTAGAATCCCATCGGACGCATCAACCTGACAAACTGCTCAAGTAAGAAGGTAGAAGCGGTCAACAGAGAGTTCTGTGCCCGTCCCAACACGTTTGAGCTGATCACAGTCAGAGCTCAGAGAGAGGATGACAGAGAGACGCTGGTCAGCCAGTGTACCAACACCATGTGCGTCACCAGGTCAGTGCCTCCACAGGAGTGACTGCTCAGACGTTTGTGTAAAAGACTGAACCCACAGTCCTGTTCTCTGTGCAGAAACTGGCTGAGTGCCGACACCAAGGAGGAGAGGAATCTGTGGATGCAGAAACTGAACCAGATTCTGGTGGATTTGCGTATGTGGCAGCCAGATGCCTGTTGTAAGCCTCTGTGATCACAGCACTCTTCAGCAGACGACCTTTTTAGACTTCTTTTTATGTCAAACGCCAATACTAAGTGCAATAAAGCATGACACCTTTTATTTTTATTTAGGAGTAGATAAAGAGTCTAAATTTCAGACTAAAGTTGGTAAATAAAGCTATATGTTGGAAACTGCTGCGTACTAGGTTTTACTCTGGATCGGTGCTTTGGTGCCATCTTTTATTCATTTCTCGTCAAGATTTTCTTGCTAACGTAAAATCCCACCTTCTATGCGAGTGCAGATTATTCCTCAACACAAAGTTTTGAACTCATTTAGTTTCTGTGCTAAAGGCAGTATAAATTTTTGAAATTCAGGAGAATTATATTTGTTTTGTTGTGTTTTATTTTGCATGGCTGCACAAACCAAGAGTATGCTTCCTGCAAGTTTGTGTTCATATATTAGCTTTTCTAACTTGTGGTAAGAGTGATTAAAGTTTGCACCTTGTTCTTACTATTTATACTCTGGGTTGTTTTAAATATAGGGTTGTTTTTTATTTAATTGTTAGATAAGGTCTGTTACACACTCTGACATTTAACCAACACTAATTCAAAACTGTTTTTGATTTTCAGTAGTTTTAATTTAACATTTTGAATAAAACCTGCAACCAACATGAAATTAACAAATGAAAATAAATTTTACTTCTCTTTTGCTACAAGAGTCTTTCAAAATAAAAGCCTCCTGTAGCGTATTGGTCAGAGTATGGAGCAGACCCTTTAATGCACCCCATGTATTTTTATTATGTTTTATAAAAGATGGAGCTTTTTGTTTTCATGTTAAAGACGAATAACAAGTCAGAGGGACAACTATTCTTTCTTTTGCCTCTAGTTTTTGTCTGCTCTGCTCTGCTGGGTTGGTCTGAAGTTCAGCAAGTTGTGTAAAAGATCAAAGCTGGTGCAGTATTTACTCATCAGGATTTTGATTTTGACAATAAAAATGATAATTTGTTCCCAGTCAGATGGACACATATGGAACATGCAGCTTCTTTTGAATGTTTCTGTTCGTGCTGGCACTTGTTTGTTGGTCAGGCCTTTTTCATACATGATGAATTAAATTTTATATAAGAAACAAGGTGGCAAAGATGTCTTTTGAAGGATTATCATAAAAGTATAATTTATAGAAGTTAAAATCCAACTGGCTAAAATATTACCAAAACGGTTCCAATGTTTGAGTTACATCCACTGAGTCTGGAAAGTTTTCACACTTTGTCATCACATTTACAGCCTTATTCCAAAATGAAATTAATTAATTTTGTTCCTCAAAACTCTACACATCCTATAATGACAACATGAAAAAGTTTTTTTTTAATTTTTTTTTTTTTTGTTTACAAATTTATTAAAAAATAACAACCTGACACAAAGACAGGTTAAAAAACAGTAATCAGTTTCTGAGATTAAGGATCAAATATTTTCTTACCTAATGAACTTGTTTGTTAATGTGAACATTTCTTTGTTTAATAAAATGATTCAACTCTAACTTTACATTTAATTTACAACACTTAATGAAGTGGACAAATTTAAACATGTTTCCATCTTCACTAAATACTGTGCAGCAAAAGAGCTGTACACCAGATGAGTCCAGACTTGATGCAGCGAGTGTTGCATGACAGATGTATGATGCATGTCATAATCACATCAGAGTTCTAATTGGCTCAAAGCTGAGGTAGGCAGGACTAATTGGTTTATTAAGTTTGTTTGATTAGTGCGTTAGTCCCAATATGTATTTATGCACGTTTTAAAATTATTTGACTTTGGTAAAAATTTAATGCAAATTATTTTGTAGACCCCCAAGGTCTGGCTTGTGGACCCCTGGGGGTCCAGGGACCCAAGTTTGAGAACTACTGCTTTAGACCACACTCAGACACCACGAATGACCTTTCTATATGTTACAGTCTGTTTCATATTTTCTGTGTCAAGAACATTGTGTTTTGTTATAAAAGTTTGACTTTTGATGCTCGTGAAACTAAGAGTATTGTGATTTTGTGCAGAAAAGTCTTTAGCTATTCGCTCCTGATGCACACAGGCCCACACCAAGGGCTACTGGAACCAGAGCCTGATTGGCTGGTTGGTGCATGCTTGGGCAAACCAGGAGCCTTAAAATATATAAAATCCTTGTTTATGTCACGGGGCTGCAGATTACTCAGAGCAACAGGTGACCTGCAATTGCAATATTCTTGTTTTGTCTTTATTTTGTTAATCCTGTTGTTTCTAATAAATACCAAGAAGACAACAGGCTTGTTTATTTCTTGAGTCTACTATTATCTCAGAAAATCCACAACAATTTGTGCCCTATTTACACGGACACAATGGTGGGGAAACGTAGGCTTTTTCATGTTAATTAGAGGAAAAGATCTGCGTTGACATGGTCGGATTTTGTGTTTACATGCATCCGGAGGAATTCCCCCCACCCCGCCGCCCTCCCGAATCCGCTGTAGTTACCATGCCAGGTCATTAGTTGGTGCTGTGAATTTTGTACCTTCACCTAATGCGCATGCGTGCTGCCTCGGCACGCTCCTTTCCTGTGGGCTAAAAGCTCAGCTAACTACAAGTTAAAGCTGGATTTTGGCTGGATTATGGATAAGAGTCAACAGTTCTATGTCGTATAAGCTTCGCCCTTTAAGGCTGTCGCTGATGGGTTTATCCCGTTATGCGCAGCATAAGCACTGAAAAAATTTAGTCCACGCCCACCTGCTGTGTGGGCCCCACCCGGTCCGTATAAATTACGTTAAGAGCGGGAAATCGGCTCCCATTTTTTCTTCAGCGAGCTAAAATAGCACTGTCAGAAGAACAAAGAAGGAAAATTGTGTAGATGACCAACCTTTGTTAAGGATGCTTGGCCCGGCAGTCGACCTCCGGTCGTCCGGTGAGTTCTCCTCCCCGAGGAGAAGATGACGAGCAGTCCTATTCCAAGGTAAGCGCCGAGGAATATTTCCCAGTGACAGGTCATTACACGCTGGACAACGCCATCTTGTATTTTTTCCTCTTATCGCCGACCCTCGGAGCGAATCGGATGGTTCCTCCGGGATAGGCGTGCTCAGCTGCAGCCCCCGCTGCTCATTCCCTCCTGGGGAGCGTAGTGTCGGTGGAGGGGGGCTGAGTGAATGCTCACCCCATCCCACCTCGTTTTCGCATCGGCGATCACACCGCTCCTGTCCGATGGCACCCTCAGTGGTTGCCCGGCGTAACCCAGGAGGAGGCTGACATGAAAGGACCCTTTTTTACGTCCTACGCCTTTCCCGCCAGTTCGGATGATCCGGCGGGAAGGTTGTTTACTGGGCTCCATTCCGGCTCACCATCTTGACCCACAGACGGGTTCTTTCCTGGCAGATTGGGGGAGTCGGTCCCCAGTCCGCACCCATCACCAGAGTGGGAGGGGTTCACCGAGTGGGGCTATCCCTCGGTAACCCCCCCGGAGCCAAGCCTCGCGAAAGCTTCGGAGCGAAGCTGTCCAGGTCGGAGCAGCGTCCCGTTCCTCCAGAGAAACACGAACCAGACGGTGACCACGCTCTCCAATCGAGCCCATCAATGTGCTTTCAGGCAGCCGCAGCTAGCAACAACGTGGCGCTGTTAGCATATAGCATGTCCAAGGGGCTGAAGGCCGTAGACCTGCCTTGGAGACAAAGAACTCCCTCTGTAAGGCAGCAGACGCCATCTTCAACATGTGGGCCTCTTCTACAGTTTGCCTGTCGAGGATTGCAGCGTGGATGACGATGATCCAACGATCCACCTGGTTTCATTACTCTCCCTCGTTGCCGGAGAAACTGCACAAAGACCTGATGGAGGGCCCATCACGGCGGACGCGCTGTTCGAGAGCAGCTTCAAAACCATGCTGGCGAGTTGAAGCAGTCAGAGGAGGTGCCAGAGGCTGTGCGCCACCTCATCAAGCCGCGCTGCTCATACCGCCCCCCGGCCCGCTGGAGGGACCGTCGCTAGCAAGCATCAACGTTTCCACGGTCGCGGCTCTTGCTCAGTTCCACCACCAGCCCCGCCCATCAGAATCCAGCCCTCTTCATTCCGGCAACCTGCAGTTCAGCGTTTTCCCAGAGTTCGCCTGCAAGACAGCGCTCTGGGCAAACAAATCGCAGAGCTCAAGAGGGAGAAGCTTTAAAAATGACGGTCTCCGGAGGGTGTGCGTAAAAGTGACACGAAAGTTGAAATAAATCATCATTCAATGATCAAAGTGTCTGTTTTTAGCCAGTCTGTAAGCTCAGATGAACTCACAGCGGCTGCGCACACATCCTTCACACATAACGAGCCGGTGTCCTTAAATAAAGGTTTTTTTAAACTCACCGTTGCTCCAAGACATGACGAGTCGATCACACGACACAATGGTGAGCGAAGATAACTCATCATCTAGAGCGGCACAATCCTCACCCAAGCGGTGTCAAACTCGCACTCGTGGGATGAAACAGCCTCCATCCAACGGCGCTGCGTTGATGTTGGCGCACACCCACAGCTGCCCGGTGCTCACCGGCTCACATCGGTATAAATGTGGACCGCAGGCTGGGTGAGGTGGAGGTCCTCGCTCTCACAAGAGCGACACTCGCCTCATCGAATCAAACGCGGGCAGCTGTCACCCACCGCGTCTCAGCGTTCGGCAGCTCACGGCAGCATAAGCGTGAGGCAGCTGAACGAACCCGGTGACGAGTCCCGCCTCCCTCCAGCGAGAGCGGCGCGCGCCCCTCCAGCGAGAGCGGCGCGCGTCCCTCCAGAGAAAACGTGTGCTCCCGCGGGGCTCGCAGCCTTCACTCCAACAGCACGGCGTAGATGAAGTCACGCCCTCCGCCTCAACGTTCGCACAGCGACGTCAAACGCGCAGCCCCACGGCGTCATCAGCTGTCACACGCTTTGCCTCAGCACACACCGGCCCACCTGTACATGAAGG